CTTAAATATTTCGTTAATTATGTATATTATTCATTTCATATTTAATTATTCTATTTCGATATTTATTTGAATAATAATAATAATATTTAATTCGATTTTTCATCTAACCATTTCTTTAATTAATTATCTTAATTGGTTAAGTAAGAAAACTATTATTCAATTTAATTTATTCTTTAAATATTTCGTTAATTATGTATATTATTCATTTTATATTTCATTATTCTATTTCAATTATTTATTTGAATAAAAATAATAATATTTAATTCAAATTTTCATTTCACTATTTCTTTAATCAATTATCTTAATTCGATAAGTAAAAAAATATTATTCGATTTAATTTATTCTTTAAATATTTCGTTAGTTATGTATATTATTCATTTCATATTTAATTATTCTATTTCAATTATTTATTTGAATAAAAATAATAATATTTAATTCGATTCTTCATTTTACCATTTCTTTAATTAATTATCTTAATTGGTTAAATAAGAAATTTATTATTTAATTTAATTTATTTTTTAAATATTTCGTTAATTATGTATATTATTCATTTTATATTTCATTATTCTATTTCGATTATTTATTTGAATAAAAATAATAATATTTAATTCAAATTTTCATTTTACTATTTCTTTAATTAATTATCTTAATTCGATAAGTAAAAAAAATATTATTCAATTTAATTTATTCTTTAAATATTTCGTTAATTATGTATATTATTCATTTTATATTTCATTATTCTATTTCGATTATTTATTTGAATAAAAATAATAATATTTAATTCAAATTTTCATTTTACTATTTCTTTAATTAATTATCTTAATTCGATAAGTAAAAAAAATATTATTCAATTTAATTTATTCTTTAAATATTTCGTTAATTATGTATATTATTCATTTTATATTTCATTATTCTATTTCGATTATTTATTTGAATAAAAATAATAATATTTAATTCAAATTTTCATTTTACTATTTCTTTAATTAATTATCTTAATTCGATAAGTAAAAAAAATATTATTCAATTTAATTTATTCTTTAAATATTTCGTTAATTATGTATATTATTCATTTCATATTTAATTATTCTATTTCGATATTTATTTGAATAAAAATAATAATATCTAATTCGATTTTTCATCTAACCATTTCTTTAATTAATTATCTTAATTGGTTAAGTAAGAAAACTATTATTCAATTTAATTTATTCTTTAAATATTTCGTTAATTATGTATATTATTCATTTTATATTTCATTATTCTATTTCGATTATTTATTTGAATAAAAATAATAATATTTAATTCAAATTTTCATTTCACTATTTCTTTAATCAATTATCTTAATTCGATAAGTAAAAAAATATTATTCGATTTAATTTATTCTTTAAATATTTCGTTAATTATATATATTATTCATTTTATATTTCATTATTTTATTTCGATTATTTATTTGAATAAAAATAATAATATTTAATTCAATTTTTCATTTCACTATTTCTTCAATTAATTATCTTAATTCGATAAGTAAAAAAAAATATTATTCAATTTAATTTATTCTTTAAATATTTCGTTAATTATGTATATTATTAATTTCATATTTAATTATTCTATTTCGATTATTTATTTGAATAAAAATAATAATATTTAATTCAATTTTTCATTTAACAATTTCTTCAATTAATTATCTTAATTGATTAAGTAAGAAAATTATTATTCAATTTAATTTATTCTTTAAATATTTCGTTAATATGTATATTATTGATTTCATATTTAATTACCCTATTTCGATTATTTATTTGAATAAAAATATATTAATATTTTCATTTAAGTATTTCTTTAATTAATTATATTAATTTTTTCTATAATTAATTATTTTAATTGTCTTAATATTATTTATTTCATATATTTAGTTACTAAACTTATTTAATTACTAAACATATATTTATTATTTATTTCGTATATAATTACTAGACATATATTTAAGTAAAAAAAATTAAAATTTTATTTAATTTATCTTTAAATATTTCGTTCATTATCTTAACATATATATTATTTATTTCTTATTTAATTACATTTTTAACATAAAAATTAAAATAAACTCAGGAAAAAAAATAAAAAAAGGAACCCATTTTCGGTCCGGAGCCGGACCATCTCAGGGTCTGTTACGGACCGGGATGGTCCGTAACGGGCTGGAGCTCGTCGGAAAACTCCATTTTCGACGAGTTCCGTCTCATTTTTTCATTTATTTTCAACATTTCAATCTCAAATTCAATATTTTCTTCTATTTTAACCATAAAAAATTGAATTTAACTCATATTCAAATCCTAAACATTCAAACTTTCACATATTCAAATAAATTATTTATATAGAACATGTCTAACCTTCTAGAAAATGGCGTTCTCGACCGATCGAGGTGTGTCCGGTCTTGGTCGAAGTGGGTCAGGTTCGGGTCGTCCGTAGGCGGCGGGATCCGGACTAATTTTTCCTTTTTTTCTTTTCTCTTTTTTTCTCTCTATGAAACTCTTCTCTTCTTTGCAAATGAGAAGGGTATTTTCGACCAAAGAGATTTTGTTTACATTTTTTTTTATTACAAAAAATTTGGTCAAAGACCCTTATGGAAAAGTGGGCGGGTGGGGCAGCCATTAGCCACCATTTCCTCCGTTTGATAGCCATTATTTGACAAAACCTTTGTTTTGAATAGTGAACTTTTGAAAAATGCATGGTTAAAAATTAATAAAACTTTTCATTTAAGTACAAATATTTTATTGTGTAAATATATGATTGAAAATAAATATGTAAAATAAAAAGTTTTAAAATAATGATTCCCAAATATAGACCAAGTCCTAGGCCAATGATAATTTGATAAAACTTTAGGGGAAAAAAAATCATAAATCAGGTATCACCAATTCAATTTTTAAGTCTTAAGTTTAAATATGCAAAAATCAAGTATTCATTTATTAATTAAATGTAATAAGGTTACAATTATATAATTAATGGTCAAAGGTTCATAATTATATGTCACAATTTATTTATTGATCACATTTATCAAATTAATTGACTACAGATTATTTCGAAATCAAAAATTTTTGGGCAACTTATAAAAATACCCTTTTTTTAAAGGGTGCTTTGAAAAATTATAGAAAAAGATTTTGAAAGTATAATATATTGTGTGAAAATAAAAAGTGATACAACGTCACTTTCAAAAGTTTAGTATCACTTTTTTATTAAAAAATTACATACAATATTACTTTTATTAAAAAGTGATATTTGTTACTAAAAAAAGTGATAGAAGTTTTAAAGGGTGTTTTGAAAGTAAAATATACTGTGTTTTGAAAATTTTAGGGCAACTTACAAAAATACCCTTATTTTAAAGGGTGTTTTGAAAAATTATAGAAAAAGTTTTTTGAAAGTAAAATATACTGTGTAAAAATAAAAAGTGACATAATGTCACTTTCAAAAGTTTAGTATCACTTTTTTATTAAAAAATTACATACAATGTTACTTTCATTAAAAAGTGATGTTTATCACTAAAAAAGTGATAGAAATTTCAAAAAGACGATTGAAAAAAGTGACAAAAATTTTCAAAAAGTCACATAAATTAAAAAAGTGACATGGATTCAAAAAAAGGTGACAGAAAATAAAAAAGCGACAAACACTCAAAAAGTGACAAATTTTTTTTTAAAAAAAATGACACAAACTCGAAGAATGTAACAAACACTCAAAAGGTGAAGAAGTTAAAAAAGTGACAAACACTTGTATAATTAGTATCCATTTTACTGTGCTGGGACTTTTGATAAAAATTTAGAAATAACAACTGTTTTCAATCTATTTGTTTAATCTGAGATGAGATAGACATAAAATTATTCAAGTTCACACATCAATAGCATTCATATATTCAATATAATAACGATCGATCTCACATGTAATTTAATTTAATAAAGTAATATAGATAAAAGAAAAAAGTGACACAACCAAGGACCCTTCTCTTTCTTCGTTCTTGATTAAGCATCTGCAAGTCAAGTTTACTGGCAAAACACCAATCAAAATGTTAAGTATCGTGAAGTTATTATATCGGCACTGTTCTCATATAAAAAGTTTTTGGTAAGTGACAAATACTATCTGCTTGTTTGAGCTCCATTATTTAGAAAAAATGCATTTTTCTACAGCATTTTGACATCAATTCAACTACACATTCTTAAATAAAATAACATGTAAATTCAAAACTTTTCCTTATTTTTTAACTACACATTTTCTATCAATACACTATTCAAAAATTCATTTTTTTCCTCCAAAATGAGGCTCAAACAATAGTTATATAAAGTTAAGTGTCACATTTTTATTAAAAAGTGACATACAATATCACTTTTTACTAAAAAGTGGTGTTTGCCAATAAAAAAATGACATTATTAAAAAAAGTGACGGACACTAAAAAAAAAGCGACGCAAATTCAAAATAGTGACAAAACATCAATCAAAGCTTGGATTGGAGATGTACGCACAATTAAAGAAACATCAATCAAAACTTGGACAAGAGATGTACGAACAGCTAAAGAAACAGATATTTCACTAGTGGGCTTTGTTCGTGTATTCCTAATTGTTAAATAAAAACCCAAATGGAAACAAATTAAAACCACCAAAAAAATGTTTCAATAATATATTCTCGAAGCCTATTTGTTGTATGTGGTACGGCAAACGCCAGTGCACGAACCACAGCAATGGTAGCTTCAACTGATCCATCTTCAAGAAAAGCATCCATTTGAACCCATATATTATCAACGATCTAGCAGGAAACTTTTTTCAGTTGATATATAAAAGCTACGCCCAATCAACAAAAACTTGATTCTAAAGGTACAAACATACCATGTCACTTTTAAAATGCTGAGCTACCACTTTAAAAGCATCAATGTTGGCATATTTCACATTCAGGTTTTGGTCAGAACCAAGAGTTACAAGAGCAGGCAATACACAACCTATGCATCAATATATTGCACCTAAGAGACCAAGAAATCAAAGTACTAAAAGCAACCATAAAATTATAAGGAAATGACTAATATTTAAAAGTAAAAAGAGACTCACAATGACTTTCAAAAAATGGGCTGCACTATTTTCATATTCATGTCAGAACTTTTAACAAATTCCCAGGTGATGTTAAATATCATACTATGACGTTCTCCAAAGATGCTGCATAGTGGAAAGGCTAAAACTCAATACACAAATAGCTGAAGTCGAAGCACAATCTCAACGATTTGAAAATTAATCCCACTTTACCAACCAAATAAAGCAAACAGAATTGACAATCTCATTATTTCCCGACTGACCTTCCAATCCAAAACTTTGAATGAAAAGGTTCCTCAAGTACTGGGTCAATTCTTCATGCTTGCTTGGGTGTCCTAGCACGCCCACTAGTAGAATTGGTAGTGGACACACTGTAGCAAGTCTCTCGCCCACTAAAGTTCGGGGTTTCAAACCTATAATGGAAGAAACAATGCTTATAAAATGCAGTTTACTATTTAGATACCAGAATTGGTAATTGTTCAGAAAACAATTGCCTGTTATTCTTGGCTGCACAATAGATTGGAAGAATTTGAAATCAGCATTTTTCACCAACTGCTACCAAAAACACGGGAAGCATGATGTGTGTTAAATAAGATTCCTCAAGCTGCTCAGCAACTGATAGCAAAATCTGCAGAGATTACTGAACCTTGAATGTTTCAGAAATAAGAAAGAAAAATTGCAGAAAAAGAGCAAATAAGGAAATGAAATGGAAACTCAAAGCACTGGAAAAAAAATCCTAATGTGAGATAAGTAACTTGGTAATTCTGTTTCTTTGTTATCTTCCTTCCGGGGCAATAGTTCTGCCAACTGAATCAAATTGGGAAAACACTCAATGTGCAGCCACCCCAAAGACCATAACCAATAAAATAGAAGCCAAAAATACCTTCCAAATTCTCATCTTTTCAATATCAGAATTCAGTTTTAAGATACAAAAACAAAAATGCACATGTAGAACTAACTTGCAACTGAGGCACAAGTAGCATTCCAAGAAACTCCACAAACTGGGAAATGACATTTGCATTTTGTTCATCTCATCAATTAGATGTGGAATTTCGACACAAGGGGTCTATAAATGGAGTGCACTCAAATTGGCAGCAAAATTGATCCATGAAATCCAGCAATGACAACATAACAAGATTTTAAATAAAGATGAAAAAAAGGAATTAATATAGCAGCATGACATGAAACTCCAAAACCATAAAATTACTGCCAAAGCTATATATATACACATCAAAATTCAGATATACTATGGAAACTCCTATTACACACAACACACATACAAAGAGCGAAAAAACCCTAAACAAAATCGGAATTATGTTGGCGTTTTCTTCACCACCCATGGTGATTTTTTATGGAACGACCTCCTTCTTCAGGTGTTAGTGTTTTGTTATTTCAGCATGACTTCTTTTCATCAAATTTGGGCGTTTTTAGCTTATTAATTACGGTTAATTTAAAGAATTAATGAAAAAAATATTAATTAAGTGTATCGTTCAATTTTATTACTTTTTGGCCGTACTGGGATAATTTCCCCAAAATTTTATAGGTCTGTAGTTTATTTTATTGGTCACAAATCAAAAACTTATAAGTTACAGTTTATTTCTCGGTCATATATCTTCAAATTTGTTAGTCACGAATTATTTTTTTATTTACAAATTATCAAGTTTTAAGATCACAATTTAATAGTTAATCACAAATTTTAAGGCCATGTTTACACCACCCATCCACAATACCGCCACAACAACTGCTAACAACAATAACAAAAAGGATCACCACTACATTATCAACGCCTCCACCACACCACCATACACAGATTTAACTTCTTCTTTTTCTTTTGACTCCAACATGATATAAAGTCCCCTATTCGGCCTTCTTTAAAATTTATCAATTTAATTTAAATTTGTCTATTTTCTATTTTCAACCACACAAATTTTAATAAAATAATATTTTATGCAAATCGTAAACTTTTCATTCTTTTACAATTGTTGGGTTTTTGATACCCAATAAATCTCGGGTTATGATGTTAACGTGGGTTAATATTATTTCATAGGCATAAGCCGATGAATGAAATAAGTCCAATAACCAAGTCCATGAGTTACAACCGGCCCAATTGTATTCCTTATGGATGGTTTAAATCTTGGCCCGTTTACCCCTTTATTGGCCCAACTTAAAGCCCAACCCTAGAATATATAATTGGTTATAACCCTAGCCACTTTCATATGATGATTGTGTGATTTTGAGAGAAGAAACAAGAGAATCTCGGCTGCCCCCTTTGTGTGAGAAAAAAGGTGTTCAGAAGTGTCCAGAACGCTGGTTTAACGTGTGCAATTGGTGGTTCTTTCATAGTATACCTATGTGGTGTCTTCTCTTAGCCTTTGTGGCGATAAATCATCATCCTTTCTTGTCCTACGTATGTAAAATTGAATAGCAACCAAGGTGAATCAATTGGTTGTGGAGAAAGGTACGTTGGACTGAGCCTGAAAAATCACTGTTTAAAGATCTTCCGCAACAAATTGGTATCAGAGCTTCAAGGTGAAGGTTTTGGCTCATGAAATATATCAGAAATCGTCCATAAAATCGGCAGAAACGTAGCAGAAATCAGATCGAAAAATTGTTAAAAATCAGCCCCTGTTTTGGTATTTTCTGACCAATCCAAAAGAAATTTGGGGAAACGGAGACCACTAGTGTAACGTGCAGGTGGTGGCGATCAATACGGTCAGGTGGCGGGCGACGGAGGCGCGTAGAGACCACGCGCAGAGACTGGTTGGGCGCGTGGCAGTTTGTTCCTCATATTATTTCTGACATTTTTCGTGTTGGAAGTTTTTTATTTCAAGGTACACAGTAGAATTTGGACAGCGTTGTTCTTCGGGCGTTTAAGACTCGATCGTGATTTTTTGGTTGCTGCAGTTTCCAGAGACTTTAGAACGAATAGTGATAGTCCTAAAGTGATGAATTCGAGTCTCTCGATATTTACGGACCTTCAGACGTGGTTCGCTCGGTATCGTGTTCTTTGTTTTTATTACTGCAGTTGAAATAAATGTGTAGAGTAATTTATTTTTTGCATTAGAGGTCATCGTGTAGGGTGACATTAGGTTTGGGATTACCATGAAGGGGTAACCATTGCCTGTTGCTAGATTTAGGAATTATTTGTTAATTATTTGCCTTAAATTTTTTGTGAATTTGTTGTCAATTTTTCTACATTATTAGAATTGCATGTGGCCTTAGAAAAGTTTACTGGACTATTCTATGTGAATTATGTTCATACTTTACTTGTGGTCATTATTTGGCATTGTTGGCAAACGTGGGTCTAAGGTAAATGCAAAAAATAACATATATTTTAATTGTGGTGAAATTTGGACATAGTTGAAAGAGATTGTCCTAGGATGATAATAAAATGAAAGATGAGGGTAGAGACAAAGCGAATATGACTTTAGGGTCGAGTAGTGATCCTAGTAAGGTTTATTGAGAGAATAAACCTGGTTCTTGCATTGCATCTGTGTGTAATTCTTTCTGCATGTATGTGGTCACTTAATTCTGTTGCGATGTTAATTTTACACTTTCAATATGTTTGATAAGTGTAATTGCATGAATTAGAGTGACTTATTACTTTGTGTAATATGTTTACATGCATAGTGGGTTAAATTTTGTGGCATACTCTATTTGCTCTGTGAGTGGTGTGAGAGTGTGGTAGTGAGAAAAAGTTGGGCAGCCGTTTCTATCCTTTATGAGCCTGTGTGGTTTGTGAGATTATGTGAGGCAGCCATGTTAGGGTTATATTCTTCCTCTTTGTGAGCCTCCTTTGTGAGTGTTGTGAAGTAACCGACTCTTTCTTCGTTTCTCTTTGAGAGTGTCACCTTCACTATTTTCTTTGTGAATTTTTTGGGAGCATTGGTGAGTGGATTAACCTTTGTGGTCACCGAAAGGTGTTGTTTTGCCATAGTAAGTTTGAGATGTATTAGCAGTGAGTTGGATGTCTTTTGGTAAGGTGGAGTATAGATGCCTAGAGGTGCATTGATGATATGCACGAGGGATGTAGAGTGTGACATTTGGATCACGAGTGGAGATGTGATCAAATGTCTAGGATCCTTTATTTGGAAAGAAACCCTGATCAGGTGGAGTGTGAGAGAGGCACTTCTATCACTTCTGTTAGGTGGAGACCCATTATCCACGTAGGTTGGGAGAAGTGATGTGGAGATAAAGGATTATCCCGTGGACTTAGGATCTATTGTGATTTGTCAGTTAGATATGAGTTGAGTGATCTGTCTAGTGAGCTTGGTGGGCGATGAGAGGAGATATGCGTTCTCGAGGTGTGAGCAACACGGAATGGGATAGGATAAGTGTGGTGAGATATTTTCTTAGGGTCATTTATGCATGTGTTGCATATGTGGTTGACCTTGGTTTGATTGACTTGGTATTACTCTATGGTTCTATGTGAACGTGCTTCTGAAAAGATCTGTGTGTTATCCTATAGCATATCGTCATCGCATGTGTATTTGCTCTTGATTGTTTACTGTTAAATATTTACTTCTACTTGTGTGTTTTTGACCTTAGCCCCAGTGAATACATGGAGCAGGTATGGTATGTGTTTCAAGTTGAAAATATGAGGTAAGGTCTGTGATCTAATTTTATTGGTTACCTTGATTATGCAAGTGTTAACTGTGTGTTTTGATTGCTTGCAGATTTATTGGGTATCAAAGTGGAGATTTGTTGCGTTTTTGATACCCAATAAATTCCGGGTTATGATGTTAACGTGGGTTAATATTATTTCATAGGCATGGGCCGATGAATGAAATAAGTCCAATAACCAAGTCCATGAGCTACACCCGGCCCAATTGTATTCCTTATGGATGGCTTGAATTTTGGCCCGTTTACCCCTTTATTGGCCCAACTTAAAGCCTAACCCTAGAATATATATTTGGCTATAACTCTAGCCACTTTCTATGATGATTGTGTGATTTTGAGAGAAGAAACAAGAGAATCCCGGTTGCCCCCCTTTGTGTTAGAAAAAAGGTGTCCAGAAGTGTCCAGAACGCTGATATAACGTGTGCAATTGGTGGTTCTTTCATAGTAAAACTTTGTGGTGTCTTCTCTTAGCCTTTGTGGCGATAAATCATCATCCTTTCTTTTCCTACGTGGGTAAGATTGAATAGCAACCAAGGTGAATCAATTGGTTGTGGTTTGGAGCCATTTGAATTGGTTGTTGGTAGAGAAAGTTACGTTAGACCGAGCTTGAAAAACCACCGTTTGAAAATCTTTTGAGAGAGTTTCAGCAACAACAATCATTCATTTTTCAAAAAAATATTATTCCTCCATTATAAATTCAAATAATGGGATCAAATCGGGCAAAATCATGCTCCTTGTGCATTATATAAACCAAAGTAGGCATTTCTCGAATTGCGTTACCCAAAAAATATGCCTTCTTTTTCCTTTTTTCCTCATCCCGATGCCTTTTGTGTATTATTTTCTCTTTGTACCCCAAATTTCTTTAGGTACTTTAATCAAATAATTAAAATATCAATGCGGCGGTGGACCAACGATGTTCCCTAGAAATAAAAACCCGGAATGCGGAATGCGGAATGTGAACTATGTACTGCGTAGTGGGAACACGAGAAGGTTTTTATTTCTAAATTACGAAGTATCTTATTCCTTTATGTGTTTGGCAAAAAAATAAATTTCAAACTTATGAGTTGATCAAAATTTTTAAAATCCAATCGATATAAATTGCAATGCGATAGTGGTAACTATTCGAATTGTGAATAACTCTAGATGCTATGACTTCAAAATAATGGGTGTCTACTTGGTTTATCAAACTTGGGATACAAGCTTCATTGCCAAAAGGAAAACCTTACAGAATCACTAAGTCCCTCTTTGATAAAAACTACTGTAAAATTTTAATTACACATTTTACGGAATTCACAACTTTTTATTCTACCACAAGTTGCATCAACTTTTATTAATATTTGCTAAATTTCTTTATCAAAACTTTATAAAACAACTGCTCAATAATAAATGAGTAAACTTTACGCATTAATAATAAAATAATATTTTAAGTTTAGATATCTGATTAACAAATAAGCAAAAGAGAGTTGAAATAATCAATCCTGTTAGGATAAAATCCCATGTCTCGGCTTGGGAACAAGGTTGAAAACCTTATTAGAGGGGTGTCTGTCAGGGGAGGCACCCCTCCAATAGGGAGCGCCACAACCAGTCCCCAACTTGAAACAAGGAGCACGCTTGATCATGTTATAGTAACATAATAGTTGACATAATGTTACATAATATTTCATTATGAGACTACAATCAGATCAAATTATTTTATTGTTAATTTGATTATGTTCTGTCAAAATTCCTAAAGTAACAAACAGTAGCAGTAGGGAATCTTGATAAAAGGACAGTGGCAGTGCCTTTTCCCTCTATTCTCACTCTTGCTTTCCGGCTAATCTCAGTCTATTATCTCTGCTTTCACACAAACCCAGCCAGAGAGAGAGAGGTTTCGAAATCGAAGATGGCATTGAGCTCCAAAAGATGCGGTGGGTTCCCTGTATTTTTTCTGCTTCTACTCGTTCACTCAGTTACCGCATTTGTTGAAGACGGTAATTTCTCTCTGTACTTATTTTCGATTTTCACTTTTAATTAAGCTCATACAGCTTTTTTTAGTGCACTTCTGCTTCTGATTTTGGGAGTAACTTATTATTCGCTGTATTTGAGATCCGAGAAATTTAATAGTCCCCGCTCTATTTTTTTTTTGCTTCAACTCGGTTACAATGAATTTAGAATATTATTTAAGTGCATATACAAAATTCTCTAATTTTTGTACTCATTTTTTACCATGACATAAAATATTTTACACGTAAATTTAAATTATTTTTTAACCACACATTTTTCTAGAAATCCTATTCAAATATTTTTTTCTCAATAATGCCATCAAACATGGACTAATTTAGGAGCCGTTTGGTACTTTTTTTTTTTTAAATATATTTTTCTCTCTTCTTTTTAATAACACATTGTTTATTAAAATAATATTACATGTAAATTAAAAATATTTTTTTATTTTTTAATCACATATTTTTCATCAATTTACTATTAAAAAATATATTTTTTTTTATGTAAAAATGGCCCCAAACACCACTTTAAAAATCAAGAGTTATTCCAATCTCTTTCCCTCTTCAATAAGCCTCCAGATGGAAATCAATTCATAAACTTAATTAAATCAACTTTTATTTCAATTTCAAGTTCATGACTATGTCTCATACAGAGAATCAAGAATGCGTCCCCTTTTAGCCTTTCCACAGGAAGAAACACTGATCTTCAACCAGGCCTTGTATGGATTTTCTTATTTATCTGTTTGCTTTGCAATATTAAATATTAATTAAGAAAATTTGAAATGATTGTAGTTTCACGCTTTCAACTTTTTTGGCCCACCAGCCATTAATCTATTCTTTAAATTTAAGGTCTTGTTTGAGCCTTATTTCTCGATATATTATCAAAAAGTGACTTACATTATTTCAACCAAATATTTTTTAACAAAATAATATTACACACAAATTTAAAACGTTTCATTATTTTTTAATCGTACATTTTTTATCAATTTATTATTTCAAAATAAAATTTTTTAAAAATAATGTTGCTCAAATACACAATAAATTTTTTAAGCTCAATTTTGATACACGTTCTTCAATAAAATAATTTTACATATTGATTTAAAAAAAATTTCATACTTTTTAACCGCACATTTTGAAAAATATCAAAATTTTACAAAATTTATTCTTAAAAAGTGTACATCAAACGGATCATAATTATTTCTTTGTCCACCCATTGTAATTCTACTTAAGTGAAAATATAAGCCTAGGCCCTAGTTCAATAATATTGTAATGGTCCCAATAGAGCTCAACTTCAATTTAGTACTATTACACCTACAGACGAGTTATTTCTAGGATGAGTACAATGATTCATAGTTAGTACTGACTGTAAATTAAAGAATTAACTAATGTATTGTCCCTCTTAAATGCATTGTTCTTGCTCCTTCTGTTTCCTAAACCTCTAGAGTGTAATTTTATGGAAAGATTATGAAATGTTCAAACGCAAAATTATGAAATAGTTTACTATTCCGCGTTATAAATTTCATATTTTCACAATTTCAATTAAGCCAAGTGCACATCCGACTCTTTTACACGTACTGTAGGATTTTTGTCAGAATACATACAGAAAACTCATAGTTTTGTCCACACATATTTTTGACATTTTTTATACAACATAGAATCCACGCGCTTGTCTCTATTCTTTTACAGAGTCTGTACACTCAGACTTTTTCATTGCTATTAGCCAAAAAAAAGCTTGTTTCCCCTGCCAGTGTACTATCTCTGTATAATTGATTGGATATCTTTTTCTTTTCGGTGCGCACTGCTTTCTCATGATCAAAGTTTTGATTCTTTTGATCTGAAAGAAAAAATTGGTTGGATAATGAGACGATTGGCGCGGGAAATGGTAACTGGGCCCAAATTTTTAGCTTAACGCGGTATCTTGAAGTTGCCAAAATGTTGCGATGGGATAGGTTCCTTTGTCTTATTGGTGCATTGATCATCATGTGAGAAAATTTCACGTGGGTCTCAAGAAAATTTTATGGGCCCCTCAGGAAATGTTCCCACTTTTCAAAAAGTAGTCTTTTTTTTTTTTTTTTTTTGAGCTCTATTTGAAAAATCATTTTCAATCATATACTTCTTAGTAAAATAATTTCATGATATTTTAATTACATATTTTTAAAAAAATACTATTTCAAAATACGTTATTTTCCCTAAAACGAGGTCAAACAAGGGTATATGCATGTTGAAAGTTGTTAATGTGTGAAAGTTTGGCGTGGAAAATCAATACCATGCATGTACTAATATCATGTTTGTAGTATGTTTTTATAGATTGTAAGTAGTCAATTTCATTGGGGCGTGAATAAAAATAGTGGGATCATAAAAATGATATTTGCATAGCATACTCTGTCCTGGTTTTCTGTAGTACCATTCTTCAATATGTATTTACACAATAAAATATTTGACACATAAATCAATAAATTTTTTTTTTTTACTTTTTAAATACACATTTTCTAAAAATACTATTTAAAATTCTTTAATTTTTCAAATAATGAGCATCAAACAGGCCTTTATATTGTGGATTTCCTTCTGTTGTCTAGATGTTCCATGCTTGATTATAAAGACTTAATGTGCATTTCATGTTGGCAGGGTATTTTGAGGGGGGAAAATAATGTAATGTTAAAGTTTGAAATAACCCCTAGCAATCTCAGGCTGTGAGAACAATCACAATGTGCCCGAGTAAATGAGCGCGGATGTTTTTTTATCACGAGTTCGATTTTCTCTATCAACACTTCTTGGTCGAGTTCATTGCACCGGGTTTGTCTAGTGCGATTTACCTGGTTGGCGTGGTTTGCAAGTTATTGTGTTAGCTCGAATGTTTATCCAATATGCACTCAAAGTGTAGCAGCTATCATAAAAATAAATAAATAAATAAATAAAATCACGATGTCCCTGTGTTATTTTAATCTTATTGGTAATTTTACCTCAATGATTAAGCTTAAAAAGATTATTTATAAATAACTTATCACTAAAGTTCATTACTATAAGAAAATCCATGGCCCTTTTTTACCAACTACTTTAAAGTTTAAAACCCTAGTATTAAATTTTTACTCACTGATTTCCCCCATGTTCACCACTGCGGCCGATCATTTTTGCAGGCCTACTTCCCAATGGCGATTTTGAGGCCCCTCCACCAGGAGGATTCTCCTCAGAAGCAGGAATTTCTGAGGGCATGGCTACAATCCCCAGCTGGAAATCCAACGGCACAGTCGAACTAGTCGAATCAGGCCAAAAACAGGGCGGAATGATCCTCATCGTACCGCAGGGTGCACACGCTGTGCGGCTCGGTAATGACGCCGGAATTAGCCAAGAAATTGCCGTCGAAAAGGGCTCACTTTACTCAATCACATTCAGCGCGGCTCGAACTTGCGCCCAATTGGAATCACTCAACGTTTCGGTCCCGCCGGCGTCGCAGAACATTGATTTGCAGACTCTGTACAGCGTTCAGGGCTGGGATTCTTACGCGTGGGCCTTTCAGGCAGAGGAGGATAATGTGCGTGTAGTGTTCAGGAATACGGGTATGGAGGATGATCCCACTTGTGGACCCATTATTGACAATATCGCTATAAAGAAGCTTTTCGTTCCCGATAAAGCTAAAGGTTAGTAAAATTCTGTATGTTTTTCAAACTCCAAAATTCGGTGCAGTTCTTTACTTTTTACCGTTCATCCTTTAATAGTTCTTTATTATTGACAACACTGTGGATCTTGGAAGCATTGGATGCTTGTGTGCTAAGAGCATGTTTGGCTAAGCTTAAAAAGTATGATGCATAATTTACTTCTGAGGGAACAAGTAACTTTTAAAATAAAAGATTTCAAAGTTAAAAAATTAAAGATTTTGACTGTAAGCTCTTAAATTTTGAAAACACTAACACAACCAAACTGTTCTAAAGAGCTACGTAAAGGGAACTTTTGCTGTTTTCTCGAGCTTAGCCAAATGTGCTCTAACAATTGAAACAAAATTACAGCAGCGTTTCATGTGATAAATTTGTCCGTTAACCCCATAATAAAGAAAGAAGAATGAATACCTGTAAAAGCACCAGGCTGTTTGAATCCCCGCTGTTCATTAATGATTTTAGCTTGCTGATCAGTTATGTTTTCGACATATTCAGATAATGCAGTTGTTAATGGTGATTTCGAAGAAGGCCCTTGGATGTTCAGAAATGCTTCACTTGGTGTTTTACTTCCCACCAACCTGGATGAAGAGACATCCTCATTGCCCGGTTGGATAGTTGAGTCAAACAGAGCTGTACGCTACATTGACTCGTACCATTTCTCTGTCCCAGGAAGCAAACGCGCCATTGAACTGCTTTCTGGAAAGGAAGGAATTATATCGCAAATGGTTGAAACCAAGCCTAATAAACCTTACAGATTGACGTTTTCATTAGGCCATGCCGGTGACTCCTGCAAGCGGCCACTGGCCATCATGGCCTTTGCTGGTGATCAAGCCCAAAACATCCATTACACTCCGGATTCCAACTCCACTTTTCAGTCAGCTAATCTCAACTTCACGGCCAAGGCCGAGAGGACACGTGTTGCATTCTACAGTGTTTATTACAACACAAGAACTGATGACATGAGCTCTTTATGTGGTCCAGTGGTGGACGATGTGAGAGTAGAACAATCAGGGTGTAACCGCATTAACCCCAGATTTTTAGGGTTGATTTTAGTTTTGGGTATTTTGCTGTTAATTTGATTTCTTGTTTAGATTTAAGGTTGTGATCTGGTTGAGGTGTAATATTACTTGATGTTCATGTGCTGACAGGTAGTGTGGTAAACCAACTTTCCTGTCTTGGGTCAATGTTAAGGGTTTTGATTTCACCATGACAAATGTAATGCTAGTAAATTTGAATGGAGTTTTGATTAAGCAGTTAATCCCACACAAATTGCCATTCTTAATAATTTTCAAGACTACTGGACCTAATATTGGTCGAGTCATCATCATTGAAAAGATGGAGCGACACAAGTGCTCTCTGGGCAATGAGATCACCTGTAACATGACTTCTCCCACTTGACTTGAGTTCATTTTCAAAGAATTGCACGGTTAATATTTGGACCCTTTCCTGATTTGGCAATGAATGAGAAATTCAAGGCTGGCCAAGAGTTTTATTAGAGCAGAGGGTGACAGGGAGTGAGGGTAGTAATAAAGTGCAATGTTCAGTTTGGCCAAAATGAAATTATATTCATTATATTCCAGTCGATAAATGTATTTTTTATTTATATATTTTGTAAAATTAAAAAATATTACTATCCCAATTTGGCCCCCATTAATTTTGATTATAGTGGGAGGAATAACTTATTCTTTTTTTTTTTTTTAAATGGATAGTTGTAAAAGAATGAAATGTTTTTACGTGACTTTATTGAAAATTTTGTGGTTAAAAATAGAAAAGTGAAAATTTTAATTTAATTTGATTAGATATAATAGGCTCAATAAAAATGTATATTTTATTATTATTTAAATTTTATTTAAGCACTCTAAAAGGTTCCCAGATAGTTAATTTAGCCAATATTTGACCTTCTAAAACACATAACCCCTATTTGTTTCCTGTTATATGGTTATTAAAATGAAAAATATGAACGTTATCCATCACATTAAGTCACTATATTTGAATTTTTATCTCTTATGTGAAATCATAACGACTATATTTTTCATTATCATTATTACTTAAACAAACGGGATCAAAAATCTTCTAATTACAATTTTGACTGAACTAGACATCTCTTGATTCCGTTACCGAAAATAGTATCGTTTGAGCTCAGGCTGTATAAATTTGACCCTCCATAGAAAATTTCCCTTCGAGAGATCATTGCCCTCTCTCTCCTCTCACTTGCTACTAATGGAACAAGGCCTAATTCCTACCTCTTCGTCACCACCGTCAGATCATGATCAAGATCTTGACCTCGATCATGAACCTGATTTCTTACCGGTGGGATCTCCGGAACTCGCTGAATCTCACTTCCCCCAGCCGTCCGATCTACCTCAGACTGCCGTGCTATCCGATGATCTTCGGAACAAGATCATCAAACAAGCAAGTTTTTTAGAGTTTAAATTTGCTTTCTTGCGTAGATTTGACTTTACCTGTTACTGAAATATAGGCTGTTGATTTTGTTATCTTAGTAATTGCTGATCTGGAGTAGGGTTTATAGTTGATTCGCGGTGTTTTTCAGGACTTTAGGAAATTGTGTATAGCGTTAAAAAAAATTATTTTTTACTTTAACTTTTACTGAAATTTTAGGCTGTTGATTTTATTACGTTAGTAGTTCTTGATATGAATCAAGGTTCATTAATAATGAAAATCATTCACACTAATACACTATATCGGTTATGATTCTCAATGTCTTCAAGACTATAGGAACTTATTTGCAGTATCAAAATCTTGATTTATTGTGCAGTAAGTTCTTAAAGTCTTGCAGAATACTGAGGATAACTGATGATTATTGTGCAGAAGACTTTCGTTACTAGGAGGGTTTAGAATGGGTGGAGGGTTCATTTAAAATTTGAGTTGTTAGTCGGATATTAAGTTACGCACTTTGTTTAGTTATGAAATTGAAAATATTGATATCTGGAGTTTGATAGGGCTTTTCAGTGTGAGGGTAACGTCCATTTTGAAATATGTTTTCACAGGTCGTGTTTTAAATTTTTGTAGGCAACTTATTTCTCTTTATCTGGCATTTAGGAATATTAGAATCGGAGATGGTTTTGTATAATCTTCTCTTGATTTTGCATTTAATTTTTAAAGTAAGGGGCATGTCGAGTCCTTGAGTGCTTTTATTGTCTGATTAAAAAGTTTTGGCCTATCTAATAGCTGGATGCTTACATGTGATTTTTCAAGATCTTTGTTGAGTGGTATGGAAAGGAAATGATCTAGGGTTTACCGGGGTTCATTGCAATCTAATTCTTGCAATATTGCCTTTTAAGTGCATCAATTAATCAAGTATGCTTTTAAAATCTGATTCATCTTGCAGGTAGAGTATTATTTCTGTGATGAAAATCTGCCAAATGACAAGTTTTTGATGAAGTATGTGACTAAAAATGCGGAAGGGTTTGGTGAGTTCTAGTTCCTTTTCTTTTCTTTTTTTCTCCTTTTAGATTAGATTTTCCATTTTCCAATGTTACTTGTGTTACCCAGAGTTACCAGGAATTCCAAACCATTATAAATTGCATATAATTTTTGTTTTCGAATGTGGTAAACTGACTAATTGGAATTCTGAAGTTGGCTCTCTGAAATATGGTAATTAATCATCCGTAAAAATTTGTAAGTGTAAAAGCCTAAATTGTAGAAGTTGACCTTTTTCCATAAAAAAATTCACTGCACACTATTTTCTCAGGTATGAGATTATTAGCCTCCGTTTGGCAAAATTTCTAAATCATTTATAAATGATCGAACTTCATTTTCAACCACTCATTCTAATAGACCAACACGTATTATCCACTACTCATTTCTGTCTATTTATAAATTAAACCGTTTAATTCTTTCCAAATGGAAGCTAAATTTTCCAATGAACCACTTAAATGTAAAGGGAATGTTGTACATTTGCGTTGTTATCTCTAATTAAGATACTCAAAAAGAATTTCATAGCATAGGACAGAACCTAGGGCTCAAATTTATAGCGTGCCAAGTTTCAGGGCTGGAGCTGCTTGTCCTGGATATTTAGCTTATTCTTCAAGTGAACAAGTCACTCTCCAAGATGTTGTTTCTTGGTGCTGCTAATGAAATGTGTCAAATATGTGTTCCATTTATCTTTAAAATTGGAATGATATACATATACAGATTTTTTGAAGTTGTGGTGATCGCAGTGAAATTTGTAGTTTTTCCCATTGAATGAATTAGAAACTGTGTTAGTCACTAAAAAGCGACAATTTAGGATCCCCCCACCCCCTTCATTGCCTTTCTTTTTACTGGCAATATAACATTTTTGTGGACTAGTAAGTTCATAAGAAATTGAGGCACCACCAAAATAGCACAACATATCTACTTTCATAGCTAAAAACAGCAAGCTATGTGCCTATATCTACTCCCATAGATAAAATCAGTCTTCTGTCTTCCAGTTCCTATTGGAGTCATTGCTTCTTTAAGAAAGATGAAGAAGCTCACAAGAGACATATTGTTGATAGTGACAGCACTCAGGGAATCTGAGCATCTTGTAAGTGATTTAATTTCACTGGAACTGTACTTTGTAACTGTATTCTTATTGACCAGATATTTTGAAAAAGTAACGCTGCTCCTGATGATTGTTAATGTTACCTGGTTTCTCAAACTGCCGTCTTTTGCTATTTCTGTTGTTTCATTTTTGTCCAAAATTCTTGTCACTAGTCAGTCTGCCTGATAGAACCCCAACTGTTAAAGCTGACTGGTTTAATGCAGAGATGAAAACTGAAATGGAAATGATTAATTTTATCGAAATGAACGTAAGAAAAGAGTCCAAACAACCCAGAGCATTCGAGAGGCTCAGCTCGGGACTCTCCCACTAGACTCAACATGCACGTGAATGAATGAATATCCCAACACCCCCTTACATTTATAGACAATTTGCTAGCTATCTATTACCCTTTTACCCCTTTTGCTAACAACCTATGGAATACTCTAGAATTTTTGATGGATTGGGCTGCAATTTGATTGGATGTCTATCATTACTCGTCGCCTCGAAATCCACCTTGTCCTCAAGGTGGAAGTGTAGCTCAACTTCAAAATTCGAAACTCCATAAAGGTGAACCATTTTTGGAGTGAGCTTGTAGTTATTAGCCAGTGTATATTAATTTTGCTCCAATATGGACTGTAAGGTAAGTGGGCTTGTTTCTTGGAGTCCATGCTGTCCTCCACCCTATGGGCCCATTTAATGATATGGCCCAAACCACAAGGCCCTAGCATCCTTTCCTCGTCCCAGATTACAAGGCCAGTTCAATTAACTTCCACCCATTGGGCCAATTTCAATCGGTTAATGGCATTTCCTTTCATCACTGTCGGAGCTGCCTAAACCTCGAAATTTTTCCTGTTCTCCTCAATCGTTCCTTCCTGCTTCCGCACCAGAACGTATTTTGGAATTGAGCCTTCTCGAGATATCCACCCATCAGGTTCCCTTCCTTTGAAAACCAATATCTCCAACCTTCGATCTCGATTTTCAGCTTTCCTCAGTTCGTCACGATGATCCCTGCCTTTTGGCTTAAGTCCAATTTCATCCAATTTTGTCGGAATTTCGAAGGTAAGGGTGGATTTGAGATGATCCCTACCAATTGCTTTTCCTTCCTGGGATGCTCGTTTGTACTAGTTCCAATTTCCTCCCGTTTCCAGTTCCCTTCAATGTAAGATTTTCTATGTTTGTATTGATGAAAACCTTTGAACCAATTGAGAGAAACGTTGTGTGCATCTCCTGTGTGATGCTCGGTTGTATTCTTCTCCCTCCACCTGTGGTATAGTCATTTGCCCAATTGTAGCAGAATAGGGCTTAAAACTGGAGACATCTGATGGTTTTTAGGGTTGCAAGTAGTGATTGGGCCATTTATTCTTACCCCATATGGGCCCATTACGTCTTGGGCTTGATTAAATGAAATGTTGCAATTTCCTTGCTGGGCCAGCTTCTGGTCATGGTCTAATTCCACTAAATCTCTGGATTCTCCTTCGTTCTTCTTCTCCTGCTTCCGCAATTTCATAGAGGCTCCCTTCAAATCCTGCTCTGACCTCTTCTCCTCCTTCGACGATGGTGATGATAATATGTGCAATTTACCGCACCGTTCATCCTATGCTAGCTCCCAGTTTGATTTAACCCCTTGTTTCCGGTCTGAAAATTCATCAACAACAAAAATCTGCCTCACGTCCGGCTTCTCAGTTTTCCTCCTGTCCGGCTCCTCTTGTAGGTGCGCGATGCGGATATTTTTCTCCTGCACGTTCCACTTCTTAATCATCATACCCATCTTCTCCATCATCCCGGACATTACCTTCATAATTTCAGATTTCATTGCCCCAAACTCTGATTTTAGTTCATCGATCCTTGCTTCCCGGACTTCTACGTGCCTTCCTTCATCAACCGTAACACCCCAGGGCCAAAATGGTTGCTCTGATATCATATTGATAGAACCCCAACTGTTAAAGCTGACTGGTTTAATGCAGAGATGAAAACTGAAATGGAAATGATTAATTTTATTGAAATGAACGTAAGAAAGGAGTCCAAACAACCCAGAGCATTCGAGAGGCTCGGCTCGGGACTCTCCCACTAGACTCAACATACACGTGAATGAATGAATATCCCAACTCCCCCTTACATTTATAGACAATTTGCTAGCTATCTATTATCCTTTTACCCCTTTTGCTAACAACCTATGGAATACTCTAGAATTTTTGATGGATTGGGTTGCAATTTGATTGGATGTCCATCACTGCCCCTGCTGACTGCAGGTAGTTAGTTCCAATGGGAAAAAGGTGAAGCGTCTTCATCCTCTTCCATTAGCTGAGGTCAAGGATCCAATGGTAACATTTTTTCTCGAATGAAACATGATATCATTAATCTGACATGTAGTATTAAAAGATCTTAAATCTTGATCTGTCTTTAGCTGTGCACTGTTTTGGTGGAGAATTTGCCGGAGGATCATTCAGTAGATAACCTTCAGCGAGTGTTTGGTGAAGCTGGAAAGTATGCATCTTTCCCTGTTCTTGCATTTATGCCATGTCCATGTTACTTGTTTCCTGGTTGGCCTTGTAACAGTTCTTCTTTCAAATTTTTAGCATAAAGCATATTACCATCCGTGACCCACATGCTACAATGGAGCCCAAAAAATGCACAATTGCAGAAAAGTTGCTGAGTGGGAAGGTATGGAAAGTAGTTTTCAGTTTGAATTATTTATAATCAGAATGGGAATGCGATGTAGGATGTGGTTGGGTCCTCTCGTGATCTCAAGTAACTCAAGGTCCCATACAGGTTCCATAAAATACAAACTTCAGATGTGTTGATATTTAGAGCTTATGGAAAAGGCTTTAGATAGATACCATCTCTATGTCCTCCCACTCCAGAATCTGTCTTCATAGAAATGGTTATAATTGCAAGCTTCTTCTTTAGCTGATGCATCAAGTGCTACCATATTTTGAGTAAGTAAAATAAAAGGGCTCGTATAAACACACACAAGTCAGTGAGATCGCATAGTGAAATAGTTTCGTAGATAGATGCTTGTCAGGCTTGAAAGGTGGTAATTGTTGACCAGTTAATGTCTCCTGGTTTCTACATGCAGTTACATGCTCTTGTGGAGTATGACACTGTGGAGGCTGCTGAGAAAGCTGTAAGTGCGATGCCACACGCTGTTTATAGTTTTTATTACCTTGCATGTTACAGAATGCTTCTTCGAACTTAGGTGGTCACTTTAAATAATGAACAAGATTGGAGATTTGGATTAAGGGTCAAGCTTCTTAAGAAAGCGGTAAGTGGTCCTATCACTTCCCTCTCACTTTTGGTGATGGAATCATGTGCATGGCAATTGTAAGAATATTAGTTTTCCTTTGTCCTATTAGAGCAAGCCTGGACAGAAGAAAAAAATTTGGAGGGAATCGGAGCCAGAGAAGAGTAGCAACACGCAAGTGTCTGATCCAGCAGGGAATGAGGAGAACCACTATTCAAGCGAGCATCATGAGGATTCACATGACGAAGAGGTGCATCTTAAATCTTGTATAAAGCTACTTTTTTGGATTGTCCTTGGTAAATTACAGTTAATACTGAAGTTCATATACATCAGTTATTGCTGAAGAAGCTGATGCTTGATTAGTATTGTTTTGCCCAAAAAAAAAAAAAAAATATATATAAATGAAATATTCATGAGCTCGTAACTGTGGGATATGATGCCCTCTCAGCAAACTGCATAGCATAAGTGTTTCAAATATGTAAATAAAGTTTGCCGTCTTTATGCATCTTAGGATGGGGAGCATCTATCAAAGGAGAAAAATGGGGCACATTTACCTAAAGAGAGAGATGGGCATAAGGGTGGAAACCGAGGGCGTGGTAGGAAACCAAAACATTACGGCACAAATGGACATGGTACTGTAGAAGTTACTCTTATAATTTCCATCTCCTGTTCCATTATCTTGACATATAACATTGTTAAAATATTTTCAGGCCATGGATCGCATGCTTCTAGTCATGTTATTGAGCCCTCTAACTCTAAGCCGCCTCCAGGCCCAAGAATGCCTGATGGAACCAGAGGATTTACTTTGGGGAGAGGCCGACCACTGGCTTCTAGTTGATCATCCATGTTTGGTTAAGATTAAAAGTTGCTTAGATTAACTTCTTTGAAAATTAGCTGCGGACACTTAATCAAAAAAGATACTGTAAAGTAACTTCTAAGCTTTGCTGAACATAAGAGAGCCGTTTCAACATCTGCCTGTTGGTGGCAATGTAAATATATTCATGAGGTCTACAATATCAAGTGGGGGTTATTCAGTTAATGGTGTGTTCTGTTACTTCAAATCTGTATTTGAGAGATTTCAGCAGTGTTGCCATCGATTTGTGGATGTAATATTATGACATTGTGGACCAAAAGATGTGAAAATATCTTTAAGTGTTATATTATGTTGTACTTTTCTCTTCGTTGGCTGAAATGCATAGTATCCAAACTCTTGTGATGTTCAACCGCAATTAAGATATTGACTCAACTTTGCAAAAAGACTTCGAAATGCAAAGATGTCGTGATGACTGGTTCCCTTTTTTCCTAGTTCGATTTTTTTCTCTTCTTCTGTCATTTTGGCTCAAGACAATAGTTTATTTGTCCCTATTCTACTTTGGAATGGAGAACATATCCATGCAGTCCCAATTCATTCTCGTTCACAAATCAACGATTATTTGTTACACAAAAAATTGGGCAAATAATCAGCAGACCATGATGGAAAGGGACGAATATTATAGTACACGTGGCAAATAATTTGTAAAAAAGATGGTATTAGAGATTTTCACCGTATATGCATACGTACAAGACACCCAAAATATACAGATAAATATATAACCCTAATTGGTAATGGACTCAATTAATTTTAGAAATGCGTTCTCATGCTAGGAGTACGACGAATTTTAGAAGTTTCACTCATCTAGGGTTTCTTTCTGGTTCAAGGCTGGTACCTGCTCGCGTTTCATTCGATTCCTCTTTCTGCGGATATTATAAGCTGTGTTATTGTTTTGATCACAAGGTAATTAATGCTGATAGAATGTATATAAATGGTACATGTAATTTTGGGGTTACTGCAAATTAATAACTTTTTTTTTTTTTTTTCGTTATTGTGTGAATAGATTTCTGGATCACGGGTTCGAAAATATGCGCGGCGAAAGGTTTTCCAAGTTCGGGCGATGGATGATGTATTTACTGACTTCCTTAATTATTTCTCCTTTTCGTTTCCTGAACAAATTTTGTAACCCTCTCAACGACAAAGAAGAGGAAAGAGGGAAAAATGAATGCTGAGAAATAAAACTTGGGCAGTATCCTGATGAATTTATTTATGTGATTGTGTATCTAATTAGAACACAGAGATCCAGGGCCTGCTATGCTAAATTTAGTATATTTACTTACTAATAGGTTTAATAGTTTTGTTTTTTTTAAGTACTGTATGTCTTTGAACATGTATGTTTGGGTAAATTGAATCTTATAAGCAATCATCTCTTTGGTAGATTGAATAACATTAAGTAGTGAGAGAGGGAGGTTGCAGTCTTCTTGCGGTCAGGTGTCCAAGGGGCAAGTAATACAGATGGAGTTTGGGAGTAAACTAGGTGGACAGGGCAGCCATTGTTGGATGGAGATGGAAATAGAAGAAAATATAGGTGGTAATATTTTTATTAGCATATTTAAGTTATTTTTAGTCAAATTTTCTTTTAAAAAAGAGTTTATTATTTTTACTGTAGCTGTGTTAGCGCGAAAACTGGTAGCATTTTTAACTCGTAAGAAGAAAAAGTAAAAAGTTATAATATGAAAAGGAAAAATTATATATTATATGTTAGCTTAACTTATAAGTACAAATAATTGTGTTCATATACTCAACCTTAAATAGCCTTGAGCCATTGTTTAAGCTGCAGAAGAATTATTCTTCATTATCTGTTTTGGGGATGGTGAGTGACTCCATGGACTATTTCGTATAAGAACAGCCTCTGTTATTGTGGTGTGCGATCCCATCCATTTCTATTTAAAACTCCATCATAAGGTCCTGTACCATATTGGTTAAGTGGGAGTGTAAATTACTGATTTAAAAGGAAGAATAACCAATTACTGGAACATCAATGGCCTTTGATTGCCTTCCATTCTTTATACTCGTGGCTGCTACTTAGCACCAACCATACTTGGTCAGTTGGCTGGTTTACAATACACCTGGTTGTCTGACTCTGGTTATTTCATCTATTGTTACTTTTTTTGTGACTGATGAGTGTTATGTTTTCATGGTCCAGGACTCAGTGGGTGTTTCCTCACTTGACTGGGGGGAGAGCAGTGGGGCAGTTGAATATATCTTATCATCCAGTGGCGAAGATAGTGATGGGGAAATCATATTACAGCCAATAACTGACGTTGATTTACCTACCTCGAGAGAGAAATTTCTTCCTAGTGATGACTCCATAACAGTGACGGCTCATCGTCTTGCGATGCTTGGAAGAGCAGAAAAGAAAAACAAGTAAGATCAAATTAACATGTATACTAATCATTTTTTACTAACAAAAAAGAGGTTGACTTCTTGTTGGTTGATTTCATGTTTTTAGAATAAAATGCACCATCATTTATGCAACAAACTTCCACTTATTCCCAACAATCACTCCCATCTGTGCTTTTATGCTGTTTTGCCAATCTTTATGTGCCTTCTTCCTGCTATGTGGATCCCCATTTATTTATTGCATACAAAAAGATAAGGCACAGTACAACCAGGATGAATTACTGCTGGAACTAATATGAAATATTATCTGATGCTTCTTTTTCTTCATATTCTGCTTTCTTGAGCCAACGTTCTGGTTTCTTCTTGTATCCGATGTCATAGAGTGACTAATATTGCCCTATTCGTAACCATCTTAAAACCTTTAGGATGCATTTGATTGCAAACATGAAATTTGCTTGGAAAAAAAATAAGTTCTAGGCAATTTATTTGCCTAGAAATTATTAATTAAATGTGTTTGATTGATTTAATTTTCAAATTAGAAAATAATGTACCTGTCCATTTTTATTGGTGGGTAGATGAAATGGACGGTGGTAGATGAGAGAGGGTGAATTGCTTGAAAAATAAAAACCTATTCCTCACTAAAGTAAATATTTTCCTTATTTTTGAGTAAAATATAGTTACATAACCAACTTTTGAAAAAATATTTTTCATAAAAAATAAAGCCAATCAAACACACCCTTGATTTGTCTTTTAAGAATGACATTGTTATGTATTTTTCTTTCTTCTCCCATTCTCTTTTCAGAGAAGCAATCCTCACTATGGTTATCACTTTTGATCTTGGTACTTCAAGAATTAATCCCACCCTTGTTTCCTCAAGCTAGCTGAAAGGTAAAAAATGCTAGGGACGAAGGATGAGCCTCGAAAGACAAGTAAAAGAAAGAAATAGTAGTATCCAATTTAAAACAAATTTATCATTCTAATCTTAAATCGAATTACATGCTTGTCACACTTTATGCTTGGGGAAAGAATTTCTGTCCCTTTTTTTCTCCTGTAGCGTTTGAGGATATAAATTATCTTATATAGTATTGTAGAAAAAGACCGAGTATGGAAAGGGGACAAGATATAGTAATTGGTGACTATAATCTTGTAGTTTTGGTAGGATAATTTTCTTCCTAACTTAGAATATTAGTTTCCTTTTTTCATTATTCATCTTGTGTATATAAATTGGTTGTAATCAATATTTTTAATATATTGAAAAGTGAGAAAGTTCCTTTCAATCTCGTTTGCTTCATGGTATCAGAGCCAAAGGCTCTAATCTAGCAAACATGGCGGAATTCCCTGCCAACAGTACTGTGTCTACAATGTCGGACGCCGAAACAGAGGGTAATTCCTTAATTGGTCATAATGCATTCAAGAATTCCTCGTTTCAGCTTACTGTTGAGAAATTGAATGGGAAAAACTATCGTGAATGGGCCCAGTCGATAAAATTGGTAATTGATGGAAAAGGGAAGCTAGGCTACCTTACTAGCGAAACGAAGAAATCTGCCGGCATAGCCCTGTAACAACGATGGCACTCTGAAAACTCCATGGTAATTGCCTGGCTAGTGAACTCGATGAAGTCCTCTATATGGAAACCTATCTATTTCTTCCTACAGCGATGGATGCATGGGATGCTGTAAAAGACGCCTACTTAGACACTGTTAATACTTCACAAATCTTTGAACTGAAAACCCACTTATGGGAGACCAAATAGGGGACAAGAGATGCCACTGAATACTTCATGGAGATGACATCTCTTTGGTAAGATCGCGACCTCTTCTGTGAAGAAGAATGGAAGTGTATCGACGACATCACCTTGTACAAGAAGAAGCAAGAAAACGTAAGTCTATGAATTTCTCCCCAGTCTGAATCGTGAACTCGAGGAAGTCCAAGGCCGAATTCTAGGACGCCTCCCATTGCCGTCCACTCGAGAATTGTTTGCAGAAGTGCATCATGAAGAAGCTCGCCAGCAGGTGACGATGAAGGAGGTACTGGAGAAGTTTCGGCCTCGGCTGGGAAGAGAAATGGACCTCCAAAGAATACGTTTTCTGGCCAGGAAGTAGTAAGCGTAACAGGCCAATATTTGGGCCAAAATTTGAACACATTATTGGGCCTTCAAATGGAAGTGATGGTTTGGGTTTTTCAAAAGGAAATATAAATGGGTCAACCCAAAAGCAATGGGGCTATCCTTGGTGCGAGTATTGTCACAAGCCGGGTCATAAAATAGACACGTGTTGGGAAATTAATGGGAAACCCAGTGGCTGGAAACTTAAGCAAAACATGAGGAGCCGGGGCTATAAGGTTGAAACCAAAAATAAACCAACTTCAAGCGGTACATTTAACTCCCAGCAACTGGAACAACTCTATCAACCATTCACGAGCTTTCAAACTTTCTCTCAGTCTTCTCCTAAAGGTCTCTCTAGTTCACTAGCCCACAAAGGTATCTTTCCTAGAGCCTTAAATACTTCAAGATATAAAAATACTTGGATTATTGACTCAGTGCATCCAATCATATGACGGATTCATATCATCTATGCACTTCATATTCAACTTGTCCTGGCAACATTCGAGTTAAAATTGCTGATGGCTCAGTCTCCGCTGTTGCAGGAAAATAGAGTATTCGAATATCCGAGTCTTCAACATTGGATTCTGTTCTTCATGTTCCCAATCTGTCTTGTCACTTGTTATCTGTTAGTCAAGTAACAAAAAATTCCAATTGGTCTGCTAATTTCTTTCCATCTTATCGTGTCTTTTAGGACCTTTCATCGGATAAGACGATTGGCAGGGCTAAAGAATGCAATGGGCTATACTACTTCGAGGAAGCCGATGTGAGTTCACTAGGTCAACTTTCACAATATAATTCTACATCTATCGTTAGAGATAGTGAAATCTTGTTATGGCACAATAGAATAGGTCATCCTAGCTTACAATAGTTAAAACGTTTGTCCTTCAATTTTCATGAATAAAATATCTATTGAGTTTCAATGTGAAAATTGTGAATTTGCCAAACATCAGCGTACATCTTCCAAAATCAATGTACAAACCATCCAAACCATTTGCTGTGATTCACAGCGATCTATGGGAACCCTCTTGCACTCCTAACCGTACCCAAACAAAGTGGTTTGTCACATTTATCGACGATCACACTAGGGTATGTTGGGTTTATCTACTGAAAGAAAAAATCGATGTTCGATTAGTATTTATATACTTTCATTCCATGATCCAGACACAATTTCAAACACAACTTCAAATTCTTCGCACTGATAATAGCACGGAATATTTCAACGCTACTTTGCAAGACTATTTAAAAAATTATTAAATAGTCCACCAAAGTTTACGTGTCCATACCCCCCAACAAAATAAGGTTGCTAAACGAAAAACAGACACGTACTAGAAGTAGCTCGTGCCTTAATGTTTACAATGAATATGCCTAAAACATTTTGGGGAGATGCAATTCTAACATCTACTTATCTAATGTTGGACCCTCTCATTCGACTCACCTTTAAAAAACCTCCAAACATGCTTCCCTACTTCCCGTCTTAATTCAAACCTACTCTTAAAAGTGTTTGGTAGTACTGCATTTGTACACATTCACTCCTAGCACCGAAATAAACTTGAACCACGTGCTATTAATTGGGTACTCGCCTACTCAAAAAGGTTACAAGTGTTATGATCCTTTGGGGAAACGGGTCCTCATTAGTCTCGATGTCACCTTTTTTGAAACCACACCTTACTTTCCAAAACCTTCTCCTATGGGGGAGAACTTAATGAAGATCGACTCTCCAATCATGAATTCTTGGACTCTCCAATCATGAATTCTTGGACATTGATCTCTCCTCATCCGATCTCACATATACTAATCCTCCTAGTGTGCCATATATAGCAAAAAACTTGAATTCAAGGGGAGATGGAGAAAAACAAAGTGACAAAGAGATACTGGTTTACACAAGAAAGCCTAAATCGAAGAATAATGAAACCCTCACAACTAAAGCACCAAGAGAGTCAAAAATGGATATAGGAACTAATGAAGATCCTTTTTCAACGATCCAAGTAATGATCTACCTATTGCTCTCAGAAGACCAACCAGATCATGTACTTTACATCCTATTTCAAAATTTATGTCTTATAGTACTCTATCTACAGAATTTCGTGCCTTTACTACTAACCTTGACAAAACAGAAATTCCAAGAAACATTCAAGAAGCCTTAGAGTCACCCAAATGGAGAGAGGTGGTAAGGGAGGAAATAAAAGTTTGAAAGAAAAATGAAATGTGGGAAGTGGTAAAACTGTCAAAAGGCAAGAAACCTATAGTCTGCAAATGGTTTTTACTGTGAAGTACAAGGCAGATGGAACAATAGAACGTTACAAAGTTCGTTTAGTTGCCAAAGGGTATACTCAAACTTATGGTACTGACTACACAGAAACATTTGCACTAGTGGCAAAATTAAATACGATCCGAGTTCTCCTGTCGTTAGTAGTGAATTTAAACTGGCCACTTCAACAGTTGGACATTAAGAACGCATTTCTCAATGGTGAATTAGAAGAAGTTTTCATGACAACATCACCATGCTTCAACAAGTTAAATGAGAAAAATCGAGTGTGTAAACTCAAGAAATCCTTACATGGACTCAAACAGTCACCTAGAGCGTAGTTTGATAGATTTGCAAAGGTATTGAAAACTCAAGGATATCAACAAGGATGGTCGGATCATACCATGTTTTACCATCAATCAAGAAATGGAGCAAAAACTATCTTAATTGTTTATGTGGATGATATTATTTTGATGGGGGACAACATAGCTGAGATAGAAAGATTAAAGAAGTGCCTAGCAACTAAATCTAAGGTAAAAGACCTTGGTCAAATGCGATATTTCCTAGAAATGAAGATTGCAAGATCTAAGAAAGGTATCAGTGTTTCCCAACGAAAATATATTCTTGATCTGCTAATTGAAACTGGCAAGTTAGGATGCAAACCAAGTAATACACCTATTGAGGTAGGAAAAGTGAAAAAGGACACTAGAAAACCGTGGAAACAGACAAATATCAAAGATCAATCGGTAAATTGATCTACCTCACACACATTAGACTTGACATTGCTTTCGCCGTCAGCATGGTCAATCAACATATGCACTCTCCTAAAGAGGTTCATCTAGAAATAGTATATAAAATTCTCAGATATCTAAAAGGAACTTCTGGAAAAGATCTGTACAAGGTCTGTTCTTTGGAAAATATCAAAGGAAAGGAGTAGAAATATTCATAAAAGATAGAAAACAACTACTGGCTACTGCACATTTGTGTGGGGAAATATGATAACTTAGAGAAGTAAGAAACAAACTGTGGTAGCGAGAAGTAGTGTTGAGGCTGAATTTAGAGCCATTGCACAAGGAATATATGAAGGACTTTGGATAAAGAAACTCTTGGAGGAACTAAAGGTTGGAGTGGAGTCTCCAATAAAATTCTATTGTGATAATAAAGCAGCTATTAACATTTCTCTCAATCCAATACAACATTATAGAACCAAAAATGTAGAAGTGGACAGACATTTCATCAAAGAAAAGGCGTGGAAACAGACAAATATCAAAGATTAATCGGTAAATTGATCTATCTCACACACATTAGACTTGACATTGCTTTCGCCGTCAGCATGGTCAATCGACATATGCACTCTCCTAAAGAGGTTCATCTAGAAATAGTATATAAAATTCTCAGATATCTAAAAGGAACTTCTGGAAAAGATCTGTACAAGGTCTGTTCTTTGGAAAATATCAAAGGAAAGGAGTAGAAATATTCATAGAAGATAGAAAACAACTACTGGCTACTGCACATTTGTGTGGGGAAATATGATAACTTAGAGAAGTAAGAAACAAACTGTGGTAGCGAGAAGTAGTGCTGAAGCTGAATTTAGAGCCATTGCACAAGGAATATATGAAGGACTTTGGATAAAGAAACTCTTGGAGGAACTAAAGGTTGGAGTGGAGTCTCCAATAAAATTCTATTGTGATAATAAAACAGCTATTAACATTTCTCTCAATCCAATACAACATTATAGAACCAAAAATGTAGAAGTGGACAGACATTTCATCAAAGAAAAGGTGGACGATGGGATAATTTGTATGACATACATTCCTACAAAAGAACAAACGGCAGATTTATTTACAAAAGGGTTATCCAGACCAACATTTGACGACCTTATTCACAAGTTGAACATAATCAACATATACAATTCAACTTGAGGGGGAGTGTAGAAAAGGACCGAGTATGGAAAGGGGATAAGATATAGTAATTAGTGATTATAGTCTTGTAGTTTTGGTAGGATAATTTTCTTCCTAACTTAGAAGATTAGTTTCCCTTTTTTCATTATTCATCTTGTGTATATATATTGGTTGTAATCAATATTTTTAATATATTGAAAAGTGAGAAAGTACCTCTCAATCTCGTTTGCTTCAAGTGTGTGTGTGAAACTTTCTGATCAAAAATCATATGTTGGTTGAGAATTTGGGGAGAAAGGATTTTTTTTCTTTTGAAACCAATGACTGAGCTTAGCGAAAGCTTTTCTTTATTCTGACTTGGCTCTTTTTGAAACCTCTTCTTGCAGGACTGTGTATGGGATTCTGAACAATGTCGGACTAATCACGTTTTCAACATTGCTTCTTTTCCTTGTGGATCAGTGTGCATGGCGAATTGTCAGATTGCCCTTGGCACCATTTTACTTGATGCGCCCTTTTATGATATCTGCAGTTGTTGTGTCTTGTATAGGCTATATTTGTGTCCCGTTATTTCGTATTTTAAAGCTTCGATCAATGAGAAGGAATGAAGCACCCATTCAACGCTCCTCTAAGAAAGGAACCCCTACAATGGGTGGATTGTATTTTGTACCCATTGGTGCACTTGTTGCAGAAGTTATTGTTGGTTTTTCATCTGCGGAAATTTCTGGAGCAGTAGCAGCAACTCTAGCATTTGCTGCTATAGGACTTGTTGATGATTTTTTGAGTCTCAAGAATAAGAACAGTTGTCTATCTGGTTGGATGAGAATTTTGTTGGAGGTGAAACTTCATTGATGACTTCCTTCCAAGACTTTCTGTGTTCTCTACAACTTATCCTAGAGCTAACAGTTTTTTACATTGAACTAATGTGATGTTTTGGTGTTGCACAGGTAGCTGTTGGGACATGGTTCTCCTGTTGGCTGTACACCACAAATGTATCATCACCTTACAGCATGTATACCTTCTAGTAACTAATTTGACCAACCTTTTTCTAATGGTAACTCACATTTCTATAATGGCACATTTCAAGAGGACGGCTGGAACCTTTTAACTTGATCATCATGTGTACTTGCTGATACCTTCCCTGGAAGTAACAAATTTTACCTTATTCTATTGTTGATGGTGACAATTCTAGATACAAGAGCTTGACATTCCCATAAAAATCTAATGATGCAGTAATAACCACTTTTATTTTTTTATTGGAAAGCCGATAAGTTATTTGGAAATTATTCTGACACTGCAGTCACAGGGCCATTGTATTGGCAAGGTTTGAGCATTGAAGTGTAGGAACTGTTTCTAACCTGTTGTGCTTTTTGTCAGGTGTTACTGAGCTTACCAAGTCATGTTATGCATGGTTCTCAATGGTTTTTAAGCATTCATCAAAAAATTGAAAAATAACTCGGTGCATTGATGCTTTTCATTTTTGCATGTATAACACTAATACCAGAAAATTCAAGTGTGAATTAAATTTTGTATATTTGTTTATCAAAAACAGGGTTGTATGCTTTGCGATTTTCATGGTATCATGGCATCTAAATAGTTCGATAAATCGGTGATGAGTTTTTGTGCGTCTAGGTCAATGCATTAGTTCGAAGTAGACTAGAAGAATTTTTACATGGATAACTCCAGATAACTAGATCTTAACCAGTTGTATTACTCATTCCTTTTTTGTTTTTTCTCAATTCAGGAAAATGGTGGTTCCTTTACCTGCACCTCTAGGCCTTGTTTGTCTGGGAAAATTTTATCCACTTTTGACTTCATTCTGTTTTGTTTCCATGGCAAATGGAATTAACCTAACTGATGGGCTTGATGGATTGGCTGGCGGGATTGCTGCATTGACATTTATTGGAATGTCGATTGCAGTGCTTCCAATATGTTCTGGTAGTATGCCAATATTTACCTTTCAAGTTATGATGACCAAGTTTTAGCATTTCATCTTTAAAATCAGATTTTTTTGCTGGTACTCTGCATATTACGTTGACATTTTCAAGATATTAATGATGTTTACCAGCATTAGCCTTGAGATTCATTGTTGGGTACTAAATTTTGCAACCAAAATCAGATGTTGCTATATTTGGAGCATCAATGGCTGGAGCCTGTGTTGGTTTTCTTTTGCACAACCGGTACAAAGCATCTATATTTATGGGTGACACAGGAGCCTTGGCTTTAGGCGCCGCTCTAGCTGCGATGGCTTCTTGCACAGGAATGTTCTTTCCGCTGTTTATTTCATCTGGAATTTTTGTCTTGGAAGTACTTTCAGTTATTATACAGGTATTTTATCCACAAGATATGTGATTATTCTGAGACTATGCAAAATGCTTGATTCTTTTTAGTGCTTTGCAAAATTTGATAGATATTTTGATGACCACTACGATATTTTTCTTTAATTCCATCATTTATTGGATGGTATCACACGTCTAATGGCCATTAATTTTTGTACGTGAATCATTGATTTGCTGTCAAGCATATCATATTGTATCATTTAGGGCACCTTGTAAATGTACTGAAGTTTGATTTACTCCCAGAATAATTGTGTTCAACACCTTCTCTCCGAAGATATAAATTGCAATTCAATTCTCTGCTTCTTTCTTAGGTATGCATTTTCAGGACAACCAAATATTTTCAGAAAACGGGTTTTCGATTCTTCAGGATGGCACCCTTTCATCACCACCTTGAATTATGTGGAATTAAAGAACCCAAAATAGTTGCTGCTGCGTACATTGTCACTGGAGTTTTGATCTTATGTGGGGCATATGTGGGACTTATTTCAGCATAACTTAATTTGGGTTTACACCTCAGGTCTCTCTCTCTCTCTCTCTCTCTCTCTCTCTCTTATATATATATAGTTTCCCGTCTTTACCTCAATTATTTTAGTTAATTCGGAAAACAGAACTCATAATTTATCCAAATGTTAGCCTATTTGAACTTAAGATGGCTGAATTGGGATTCTTGCTGTTGATATGTTCGATATTATGGTCTTGTGTTAATTTAACCATTATGTTTGATTGCACCACAATTTCATGAAAATTGGAAATCAAATTTCATATTTCCAATTTTTTGTTGTTTGATAATTTTCTCTAGAATTCGAATTCCACCTTTTATGCCACCTAAGTTAATTTCCATGTTTTCCTTGAATTTCAATTATCACCATTCCTCAGTAATTGTAGGACTTTTTTTTCGACCTTTTTTTTTTTTTTTTGTGTTGGCAATGGAACAAATTACATCCCTAATACCAGTAAAATATATTCCTTTAATTGACAATTTTCATATAAAATAAAGTCAAAAGGAGATCAAAAAACACTTTTATTTCAACATTTTTCACTTGAAAAATTATCCTAATCAAACATGATAATTTACAATTATCAGGAAAATAATTTCTAAGCAATTCAATTTTTTGAAATTTATTTTCAATTCAATTCCATTTTTGCAATCAAATGAACTCTTAGGGTGTTGTTCAATGTCAATGCTCTCATGTCTGTTGAATGAATTAACTTGAGGATAATTCTGCTCGTCCACTGATGAATCGCTCATTTAATCTAATTATAATTTATATTGCTTACAAACAATACCCAAACATGCTTTTGCAATACAACAGAGGAAGAGTCAATAAATAAATGTCAATTATTACTATTTCAAGATTGCTTATGTCCAATATCGGAGTTAGGTCTTCTGCAAGGAGGAAAATCTATGTATACTTCTCTTCAATAAATAGGATTGGTCGTTAATGTTCTCTGTTCGTGTAAACTCTAGAAGTTTACTTTTAAGTAAAGTTAATTATAAGTAAATAATTAATTTTTGAAATAAAAGATCTGTTATTTGGTCAATGCTGAAATCTTAGATACATTTTTACATACGAGAAGAACGGCTTTTCAACGCATATTTGAATATATTAAATTGCTAAAAATTAACTTTACTTTTCTATATTCAGTCAAAGGAAAAATGAATTGAAGAATATTAGGAATTTAGGAATCTTTATTCGATTTTGAAGTTACTTAAATTTTGGTACTATCTCGCCTGAACGATCTGAGTTCGATAGGAACCCATGTGGAATTGAAATTACATAGGGCTTAATGAGCAAATACCTTTTCACAATTGAGAAGGACTGTGGGGTTTGCTCCTCGATTTTGCCTTTTTTTTTTTTTATATAAATGCTTCAGACATTGTGTGGACTGTTTTGTCCTCGTCCTTATTTTTGTTTCATAAATAACGGCAAAATTAGATAAGACTGCCTTTTTGCCGTTGAGAAGGATAATGGGAGCTGTCTATTGATGTTGCCATTTTTCGACACTTCATTGTGTGGGCTGTTTTATTCTCTCCCTTTTTTGCGTTTCTCATTTCACGTGCACAATTAATGGCAAAATTAGTAGATTATCAAAAAAGATTTGAGGTTAGTACCAAGATTTGAACGTTAGTGATGTTTTGCACATCGTCCATACATTAGGAATATTTCGTAGCAATTTCTTTAATTCATTAAGCCGCTGTTTAATGTGTATTAAAATCAGATTTTAGTAAATTTCAATAAAAAAAAATAGACGAAATGTATGGTTGAAAAATTATAAATTTTATAAAATATGTGATTGTGTTATGAAAAGAGAGAAAAGAGAAGAAAATGGGGAGAAGTCAATAGACTTGTGTGTTTTATTAAGAATCAAAACCCTCTATTTATAGGGCAGAGTCAAGGTTACAATGGTAATAATTTCTAGAGCTGCAGGGGTATGATTGTCATTCACCAATAAATTCTAATGAACTTTCCTTTTTACAACAAGTTCAAATTTATTGTTGACTTCGACCTAAATTTCTATCAAATAGTTAATTATGGACAACACAACCGGTTCCGGATAAACCAGCCCACACAAAGGCCCAAGTAACAAACAGAGAAAGCCCATTACTACGTAGGGTTTCTTCATTTCATGTAATCGCAAAAAACCCTACGCAGCATCTAAGACTACCATACACGCCGCCCACCCGAAGAAATATCTCATCAGAAATGGTGACTTACAAGGTAACTCCTCCACTCTATATGTATGTGGCGTTTGTTTAATGAAAATAGGGGTTTCAGATTTGGAAACATTTATACGGCTGTTGTGCGTCTTTGTACTATGTGCAGTTTCATCAGTACCAGGTGGTGGGGAGAGCTCTACCGACGGAGACAGATGAGCACCCGAAGATCTACCGGATGAAGCTCTGGGCCACCAATGAGGTCCGCGCCAAGTCCAAATTCTGGTTCGACCTCAGCTACAATTAATTTATACGTAATGTGTTTCGTATAGAATTGATTTCTGTTGATGATTATAGTGAAACGTCTTGTTATTATGATTTGAAAGGTATTTCCTGAGGAAGCTCAAGAAGGTGAAGAAGAGCAATGGTCAAGTCCTCGCTATTAACGAGGTGTGCCTTCAAGTCTAATTTTATTTTAGTGTAAATATTGCGCACTGATTTCAATAGTTGGGAAATTTGTTTCTTTTAAAATGCTATTTGATCGAAACGTATATTTTGATGTATTACTTTCATTTTGCGTTGCTGAAAATGCTCACGGTGCCTGTTTCAATATTTCTAAAACTGGTTAAATCTGCCTTGATCTGTAGTTTTTCTGCTTGGTCCCCTCCAGAAATTTTAAAGCTGTCATTAGGAGTATTAAAATGTTCAGTTTTTGGATTTGAGGAATACTAAACTGGAAGAACATGAATCTGAATAGGAATTTTTCTATCTTGATGAATTTCCAACTGTTCTTCACTTGTAATTTAAACTATCAATTCTTTATAGTTGATTTGGGCGTGTGCATCTCACAATTTAAAGCACCAAGCTCTATGGGGAATAATGGAAAGGGAAAGTTTAGAAGGTATATATGGTGTTGGATAACTAGAGCAATTGACTCATTTGATATTAGAATTTACATATACAATAGTTATGTCTAATGATTGTAGTTTCTGCATTCAAAACAACTGTTATTTGTTTGCTTAGTTGTGATGGTGTAAGCCATCATTTAATTCTCGTTTCCCGTCTTTCCTCCTGAAGGTTGCTTTATTTCCTATTGCATACATATAGAATGGTGTAAAATCTTTCCAGTTGCGGCAACTTAATTTATTAATATGAGAAAGATTTGAAAAGATAAGTATTTTTGGACGGATATCCAAATTTTTATTAGGTTTATATGCCAAAGATCTCTTTCTTCCCTACAGAAGTCTATTCTCTTTCTTCCCTACAGAAGTCTATTCTTCTTCTTTCATTTGAGCTCCCAATCCCTTCTTCCACCTCCAAGGACACATTTTTCGTTCCTTCTATAATATGTTACTGATCTTTTATTTCTAACAATCCTCTCTGTTTCTGTGAGTAGATCTTTGAGAAGAACCCGACCACAATCAAGAACTATGGTATCTGGTTGCGTTACCAAAGTAGGACTGGTTATCATAACATGTACAAAGAGTACCGAGATACCACTTTGAATGGTGCTGTCGAACAGATGTACACCGAAATGGCTTCTCGTCACAGGGTTCGCCATCACTGCATCCAAATTATCAAGACAGCAACTATCCCGGCTAAACTCTGCAAGAGGGAGATTACCAAACAGTTCCATAACTCCAAGATCAAGTTCCCTTTGGTGTTCAGGAAGGTGAGGCCACCTACTAGGAAGCTCAAGACGACATACAAGGCATCAAGACCCAACTTGTTTATGTAACATGTTTTTTAATTTTTTGAACTCGGAACTGCCTAGATTCTGAAAATTCTGTTGCTTAATTATAAGTACCTTGAGTTTTATATAATCATTGACTATTCATTTGTGTTTGATGATTGGTTTTGAGAAAATCTAGGATCGTACTGAACAGTTACCTGTTTATCTCTGGTTTTGAGTCTCCACTGATTTTTGCTTGTGTACCTTTACTTTTTATGGAGAGAGAGATCCTCGTTAATTTATAAATAATATACATCACAACCTTTTAACAGACTCATGGAGAGAATACCTTGATATTATTTGGGTAATGGTGTATGTATTTGTCGTCCTTTTGTGGATGAGATTGCAACCATAAATTGCACTGATTTACTTAAAATCAACAAATGTATCACTTGATAATCTAAATAGAAATATGAAAGCTTTTAGTCTTTTCAATGAATTAAGCTACTTTACATCATGGATGACATTGCATGGTGCGTAAAAATCGAAATCATTGATTGTTTCAAGCAATGTTAAAATCAATGGCAAACAACTTACCACATCATGAAATGTAAACAAAATTGTAAACCATGCTACAAGTGTAACGAATTGTATATTTTTTTTCTTAGTGAAAATAGCTTATTTTTCGAAAAATTTAGAGAAGACGTCTCATTTTCTCTGAAAAATTTAGCATGTAACTGAAAAATTACATCTGTTGAAAAATCATATCTAGTCAAACGCTCACCACATCGCAGCATAGTAATTGATATATTTCTTGTTTGCTTCATTTTTGTATAAGAAATTGGTAAGGCTGAAACAACTGGTGCATAAGATGAAAGTGAAATAAAATAATTGTTCATTAATTAGCAACTTGAAAATTCCATCATCTGTAAAAATTCTTCAGCACAAGGGATAAAAACATGCAATACAGAGTTACTACTACATCGAGCAACACGTAATTCTCAGTTCCATGACGTGCAATTCCACATGCAATTAAATCCTAGGTTTCATTTCCATAGTTTGGAATTTCTCTGACAAACAAAGGCCTTCAAGCTTTGTCTCCTGTCACTAATAATTCCCTGATAATTGACGAACGAAGTTATTCAAAATCTACAACTAATTATTCTGTATTACATGTTAACAACCTTTTTTGTCATGTATGAAATTAGGAATGCAAGTAAATGTAGACTGGGCTAAAGGCTAGGTTTTGCACAATGATCAATTATACGAGTACAGAAAAGTCTTCAAAATGAGGCTGGAAATAATAAGAGTATTTAAGTGCAACGGAGATATCTGTTAACAATTTTGCATACGACCTGCAAATTTCATTCAGAAGATGAGGCTGCATAATTAAATATGGCATACCATCACATAACAGGAAAGCGTCACTGCTTCACATAAAGTACACTGCATTCATATCTCTGACTAGCATTAAGCTGCCTTTCTCGTGCATTATCTGCAGAGAGATGAAAATTTTATTCTGCTATTAGTTTTGACCAACGCCACACAACTCTTTAACCTCAACCTCCCAAAGGGAAGCCTATTACAGAACAAACCGAAACTCTAAATACTTCGTAAAAATTTCAACATTACCTCTAGTAGGGACATAATCTCCGCTGTTGAGTAAGGCACAGGTTCCCCACGGTTAACAACCCCCTCAATATCAGCAATTGACATTTGTTCTATATGTTGTGCATGCCTATACCTCCCCAGTGCAGCACTGAATGCTTCCAATCTACAAGCAAAAGCAAAGCATTAAACCAACATAAAACATTAGCCCCCAACTTGGCAACAAGAGTAACATTGTATTAGCAGTATTTGAAGATTAAAAGTTGTCGAGAAAGGTGTATGAGCAATAAACCTCTCAGGGGATATGTCGACTTCGCTTGCAGGGGGTGCATCCACATCCATGGCTTCCGTTTCACTTGCCAAAGTATTTAAAAGAAGAAATGTCAACATAATCACATTGATACAACAATAATCATCAAAGAAACCTAGCAAAGAGCCTAATGCAAAACAATAATAATGGCACCAACATTCTCAAACACAGCCTACTTGAATATAAATTCCTATCTTCATTGATAGGTACTAAAAGGGTTAATAAGGAGAATGAAGCATAGAATAAAACATGTACAGATGATATTTGTATTTAGCATGATAATATGCAATAAGTTTGATGAATCACTATTTCGCGCAAAGAAAAATGTGTTTTGCTCTCAGATACTACTAGATGACTGTCTAACTTCCAGAAACAATACTAGATATCATATTGCTAAAAAATTCCTTCATTAAACAGTAGCTAGAAGAATGATAAATTTTCATTACCCTCTAGCACTAGTAGAACCTCTATTGGAAGTTCCATTTCTACCAACACTGCGGCCCGTATTGTCAGTGGCGTCATGGTCAGCTCCATGTTCTCTCTCCATTTCCCTCTGCCTTTCTTGCTCTCGCTCCTCCATTTCATTTAGCTCTTGATGATATATAGCAAAGTTTAGAACTTGAAGAGCAGCTTCAACATCAGACTTCAAAACCTGCCCAAGTCAGGTCACGAGACATTTTTCTTCAATAATAAAACAAGGTTCAAACATCATAACCATGCTGAGAGGTGAATATTACATAGTTATCAATAAACTGGTAATATATTCCTTTTCAGTTTTGCTCATTAGCCAATGAAGACTATATACAAGTTTAATTAGTCAAATGGATTATTTTAATAATAATCTTTTAAGCCCCATCACACTACTTTGTTACTTCCAAATGGATAATGAACCAAAAATAACAATTACCTGTCTCCTCAGCCTCAGCTTGGCATGGGCAGTTGATAGACGTATTATAGTTTCTAACGTTCTGGCAGTAATTGGCAGTGTTCCTCCGCCAGTCTAAGAAATGATTCAGATCAGTTAATATATATATTTTAGAGGCAGCTTAAACACCAAATATGGATTTCAGCTAACATTACTGAAAGAAACCAACCTTTGCATTTGAACTTGCATTTCTTAGCTCTGCATATGTGGTTGCAATGTGCTCTGAAGCCTGGAGAGGACGATTTATAGAGGATAATATCAAGAGGGAAGATATCTCAGGGTGATTTGAGAGAGAAAATCAAGGAATGAATAAAGTTCAAGCAACTACATGGCATCACATGCCCAGGACAGGCTTTAAAAAATTTAAATTTCACAGGACATATCAAATGATTCAGAAGCTTCACTCTCATGTAGTAGTTACGCATTTTGCAGATGAGTATTTAAATGAGCCTCACCTCATCAGTAAGCTCAGGCTGAATCCTATTTTTGGCGTAATGAATGTACTTCTTAAGAAAATTGATGGTGAGAGTATCACGCTTACGACCTCTGTCAGTTTTCCTCCCATGTAGCATTCGGTTGTACTTGACAAAGATGGTTGAACCTGTCTCAGCTTCATTTTCTTGTTCATATCTTGCATTACCATCTAACATTGAGCTGCCTAAAACATACAGCAACTTTGCTCAAGGAATGTGAAATGATTTGGAAAGATATCTAAGCCCCTGTTTGACGACCATTATTTGGGTAAAATGGAGTTTTAATAGTGATTTTTTTGGAGAATATGTGGTTCAAAAGTAGGAAAAAAATTTTGATTTACATGCAGAATATTTTATTGTGAATGTGTGGTCGAAAATGAGAATGTAGAAAAAAGAGTTTGAAATAATGGTTGTCAAACAAGCGCTAAATTTTAATCAAGAACAACAGCTGCATACCTCCATCTACCACTGAGCGAAATCGATGCATACGCAACACATGTTCAGAAATTTGACGATCAATCCCAGGATCCATTTGATCCAAAACAATGAACAATAAATCAAAACGAGAAAGCAAAGAGTCTGGAAGTCCAATGTTCTTTGTCGGAGTTAACGAACGGTCATACTGTATACAGGCAGCAGAAGAAAAATTAAACAAACGAAATAAAATATGCAAGCAGACACTTCTGTTTATACCATATTCTTTAAGCAACTTACAGTCCCATAAATTGGATTTGCAGCTGCCACTACACTGCACCGAGCATTCAAGGATGCATGAATACCAGCTTTGGCAATTGTTACAGTTTGCTGTTCCATCACTTCATGTATAGCAACACGATCTTGATCGTTCATTTTGTCAAACTCATCGATACAAACAACGCCTCGATCAGCAAGAACCATGGCTCCAGCTTCTAGTCTTCTTTCCCCTATTTTCAAGAATACCAATCTCATAAGTAATCACCAAAAAAGTTTTTCACTTTGTCTGCAAATATGTCCTACCTGTTTCTTGGTCAGAAGTGACTGCAGCTGTTAAACCAACTCCAGAAGAACCCCGACCAGTTGTTGATATGGCTAGAGGGGCAATATTTATGATTGCTCTTAGCAACTGAGATTTGGCAACAGAGGGGTCACCGACCATCATCATGTTTATGTCACTGTAATCAACAAAATTGTAATGCTATATAAGGTTTATGCAATATGTCTACAATGAAGAAACGTGAGAATAAATATAAGTAGGTGAAGGAATCCACGCATCCATGCATAAAAAATTTGCATACCACTATATAGAGCTTGTTCTAGCCAATTGAGAAAAATAGTATTACCCTCGCAAGTGAGTTCCATTTTTCAGGTTCTTTTCTGTTCCTCCAAGCATCAATAGAATCACTGCCTTTTTAATCCATAGATGCCCATATATAGAAGGTGCAAGAGAATTAGCAAGCACATCAAATGCATCATCTCTTTCAGAGATCTTTCTGATGTTTTTCATGTCGTCACTTGAATACTGCAGATTGTGTGCCATTTTGTTGAGAAGAGAGACGTTGTTGGCTATGAGGACAGTCCTACAAAATTGGTAAACGAGCTTTAAAGAATATTTGATAGAACAAAGGTGAAATAAATGAGCAGACTATTAGGCATACACATAGCAACCTGAATACTCCATTCACACTGCCCTTGCTGTTCCCAGGAAGGGCTTTGTATACCCCAACAATTGCCAAGCGGTCTCCAGGCTTGCATGAATCCACCAGGTCGTCTTCTACGATGACATCCACTGTTCTTGGAAGTTGACCAGGAGCAGCATTTTCTGGCACTTCTTGCATTGATAATGTCTGGTGGTCCTTATAAGTGCATAGCCCATACTCAGTT